TCACGCGGCCAGGTCTTGGAAGCTAGAGAATGCCGCATTTTCATTTCTTATGAATTCGTCATGCGTTCAAGCTACAGTTGCTGCTGAGGTGAAACCAGCACAGCGGTTAAAGACGGATTTCAGTCGTTTTAAAACCTTGCCTACTGGCAGGCGGTAATTAAGCAGTCCCAGGTCTGCATCAGAATCAACTGCTCACTGTCTGATTTGGGTTTGGAAGATGTGGGTTATAATAACTTCGATAATTTACTTTTCAAAGGGGTATTGCTATATCAAAAGTGTTAGTAGAGCTTTTGCATATCAGTTTAACACGAATATGTTTTTCTCATATATGCATGCATGAATATTGTCTAGAAGACGTCAACGTTGCCTCATATCCATCCAGCTGTCGTATTGGCAGCGGGTAGCACAGTATAAATAATAGAAATCAGTGAGAACCATTACAGGAGGCTTTCATTCTGAGGCATTTGGTCACCAGCAGATAGCTTTGCAGGTACGGTGCTATCAGTCAACGTTAAATGGCGTGTTTTGTATAGCACACATTTAACATGCTATCTACTGTAATTAATGTCTATTGCGGTAAACAATGGCATTGCAGCAATCGATATCTTTGTCGTGTTCGATTCGTGCACTGGCGTCCATATGCCAAACGCTGCTCTGATTTATGGAAAGAAAGCAATAATCTTTCATGAAATGAATCAGTTGTTGTTAACCGTTATTGGGCTTCCATCAGGTAGTTCGCTTGCGACAAGACGCTGGAGCTTTTCGCTGATCTGCAACTGTGCTGAGGTGCATATAGCCGATGTTGACTCATCGCTGAGTCATTCCTTTTGGCAGGGGTCAATGCAAATACTTCGTGGACATGTCAGAACGGAAAGGACTCGAAGTTAACGGGAAGCGGCCCTCACGTCACACGAGACTCGTTCATCGATCTTCTCTATATTTCTCATGGACCCTAGTGACAGCGGAGGTCGTGGAAGGAAATATATTCCATCTTATGCCAACTGCACTGTTATCCAAGCGTCTGGCCTGATGTAGATTGCCGTCATTTCTCTCATCGAACCTCATTGCATTAAGCGTTTCATATACTAGATATAAACAAACTAGTGATCGAGCTTGTTTTCTGCAGCGCGTTACCCGCTGATGTACGGGATTCGGTATTGGTTGAAGTCAATGAGGCGAGTTTGGTTGTTATTGTAAGACGTCACGGGCAAAGTGTGTAATGTGCGTCATATTTACAGTACGTATTCTTAGTAGATTCCCTATCCCGCTTTATAAGCAGTCGAATAGCCATCGGTTTTTCACACATACGAACCGAAAGCTACAAGCTCGGTCGTGCCATACCTCTTCTAAGAAACAGAGCAACGTATGAAAGAACTTAATTACGTTTCCTTTGAAGATAAACGCAAATGGTGAACTATAATGTTTTTGACCGAGTTCGTAATCACAATATTTACGTCGCCAGATTTGCTTGTAGCAGTCGGGTGATCAGACTGAGTTCAGTCAGCATTTACCATCTTCCGCTTGTTGACATCATGAGTTTGAGTAACTGGCATAAACAAAATGTCTCTGGATTTGGATGTCCGCTGTATTAGCAGAGTCTCACAGCCTTTGCTCTGATCACAAGCTTCTGCATGACACAACGAGCGATTTGTCCCTGAAAACGGACTGCGTTTTATTTTTTCCGCCCTGTCACATGTTGACCTTCAGTTTCACGTCTGCAGTGTTTCAGTGCAGAAACAATAGAAGTTTGAAGGCTGGAATAAGAGATATGTGTCCAATAATATTTGTGAACGAAATCGGTCTCCCTTTCTCAATCCTCATATCTAAAGCGGTCGCTTTTGTTGGAAGTGAACAGAGTCATTCTTTAGGTGGTCCTGCCACCTAACCCTCCTTATGTGTCGAAACTAACCCTACTGTATGCAGTATAATTGTCGTATTTGCTCCATCCATACAGCAACATTAACCTGGCTGAGGTGAAGTACAAGCTAATATTGTCCCAAGAGGTTTTACCTTTTCATCCCAAACGTTCAGCAGGTTACGTAATGCACTGCAAGGCTAAAACGATCTTCAGATTTTACTCTGACAGGTAGTGTTATCGATTATGATGATGGAGACAAAGCACTTACCATGGTTAACCTATTGAGGCACCACATCTTTTTATTCCGCTTGTAGATCAGTTATACCAGGTGGATTCCTCGTAACTCTTAACTTCCGAGCCTTAAGGAAGGTCTGACTTTCGCAACTGTGTCGCATACTGAAATCGTCAGGTGGCAAAGTCAGTTCCCTGTATGACTCGCCAGGACAGCAGCATCTGGTACTCGAGGCCAGTGAAGTATCTATAAGCAATCGCGAACTACGCCTGCAGCTCTTGTCGACGGGACAACCGGACAGCGATGGACTGCCATCGAGTGTGCAGTAAGACGCTGCAAATGCTCTTCTTTGCCTTTTCTTTTCTGCCTCCTCTTCTTTGTTCCATTAAACTGAAGGGGCGAGGCTCTTGTCAGTAACCCAGGGCAATTTTGCCATCTTTGTCTTGATCATGCCTGAGCTCTGCGCCAAAGAAATGACGTCATCACTGAAGGCTTTGCGAGCTTTGTAAATGGACATAGTAACTTTTCGACTGGGCACTAGGAAGCACTATAATAACGCTCTACCTCCTTCCGGTAGACGGCTCGCTACGGTGTTTTAGCCTGTCAATGTTGAGAAACGGGCTGCATGCCACAAACAAACAGCACACGTGCGACACGGTTAATTTTAGAAGGAGTTCGTCTACGATCATGTATAGGCAGAATCCAATGTAGGCCGGGAAAAGCACTGTTTCATTAACTGATCATTTTAGGATTTACAACGTTGTGTTAGACTGGTGGTGGAATTAAGATTTTGCACACACCACAAGCAAAATAAGTGACTGGATAGTTGTTCAACTTACCGTGATCATATTTTTTCGCAAAAATGTCAACTCGAAAAAGAATAGCAAATTTCAGCGGATTCGATGTACCTCATCGCTCTTATTAGACTCCATACACGTCACCAGTCAGTCACTCAGTTTCGATGACCGCTTATCTTTCTCGTCGCAGAGGCAGACGTATCAGACAGTGTGATGAAGATCCTGCGACCGCGTCAGAGATTCAACAGGAAAAAAACGAGTGTGGAGTGGATTCAGTTAAGACACTTGCTTGAGGCAATTCTTACCATTCCCTGGGTCTTTGGTCTCTTGACAGAGCAAGTACAAATTGTTTCATTTTCCTTTCTGGAAGCATTTGCAAGACGTGTACAAAGCATTGTAGCAATAACTTTGATACCTGGAGAAAAAGGAAGAATTGTACGACTGTAACCGTTGGAATGTCGATCTTCTGAGTACTTTATGACTGTGCCATTTCCGGCTATCTTTCTTTTCATCAAGTCAATCATACGGCGTTGATCTCCATTTCAACGCTGTAAGTAATCAATGCCTTATTATTTAAAGGTAGAGTAGACAGTAGCTATATAGCATACACATTGCGTAGTCTCCTGTTTCTTTCATATAGTGCTGTACTCATTTATTAATCTTGGATAGAAGAAAGGTGAATGACCCTACTGGAGCTCAGATCTCTCGGTTCTGAGTCAGACTTTGCATAGACTGAGGAGCCCCGGTCACTCTACAAAAGGTATGGCTGTACACCAGATCTTTCTTGGACATTTGAGCACCGGACTTTGTCGAGAGGCATGAATCAATCGATTCGTCTTAGAAGGCTCACTTCAGCCGCTTTACCACGGGTTACAGTTTTACAGTCGTGACCGACGACTCGTGACCATAGATGGCCATGAAATTTGAAATCGACCTGCTCATACACCACTGCGTCCTCAGACTCAGATCTGCCTTATTCATAACGGTTCTGGATAGTTCAAAGAGAACGGCGCTGGTCATCCAGATTCTGCGGCCGATCTTTTCCTATCACCAGTAGACACGACCCCGAGGTACGTGAACTTCTCTACCTGTTCCATTGCCCCCCCATGTATCCGCGGAGCCCGGCGAGCATGGGGTCGAGAAAGCATTAGACTTTGGGTTTTAGACACGTTCACATGGTTTCGAAAGAATACCAACACTGGCTTGAGCGTGGGCCGTTGAGTCGAAATCTGAATAGAAAAGCTTCCCACCGCAATGATTTAGAGTTCCAGAGGCCTGGCGCTAAGTTAACGAGAGTTCATCTATATCCAGTTAGTACAGTCGTTCCCATGGAACTTCATCCCACGTACTGTAATATCATTGTGCTGCCTGTCCCCTTTGTTCAGGACGGTCAACGACTCCGTTGCTGAACGGTATCGTAATCATTTGCGTGTATTTTCTCTGCAGCCGTCGTCTTGCTGCCACATCCATAGCTACCGGAAGACGTAGAACAGGTTGTGATCATCAATTTATCGTAGTCTATCTCGGTTGTTCAGGAGCCTGCTCAGCTCTTGGTAACGTAGGGACGACGGCGCCGGCATAACGCTCGATAGCCTCAATGTCAGGAGGGGAAGGTGGAGAAATTTTACAGGAGATTTTGGTTACATTACGATTGATTACGTTTAAATTTTGTGACTGAAGGACAGTTTCGTCAAGCGAATTTCAAGACCATGCTCCATCGACATTCTAAGTTTCTAAATTTAACGGTTGTGAGTTTACTGTACTTGCAGTCATGCCCTCATCACCGCCGTGTACTACGACAATGGGTTAAAGCTTAAAGAGATGCGGGCATTTTTGTGCTGGTATGAGAGACCACGCACCAATGAGCGGCAACGGCAAATGTGAGGTGACTGTTTTGCATCGATGTTACTGGCTTAATGCCGCATTTATCGTATCATCTTTGAATTTTCATATTCCTTAAGTCCGACTGAAGAACTTCCTTAATATATTCATTTCATCTGCATGTTTATTGCCGATTCTCTGCTCGAATTTTCATATTGTTTCATATGATTCGAATAATACTGCTGGCCAGATTTTCTCAGCAGAAATTGCAACTGCCTTGTCATTTGCCTCTTTACACGTGCAGTAGAATTGCAAGCGGCTTCGCATTCCGGATGCCCGCTGATTTCAGCGCTTCGTATTTTAACATTAGGATATAAGTACTGTTTTTGAATAGGTTAGGCTTCCTCATTTGCGACACGAATCTGTCCAGGCTGTTCAGTGACGCATACGCATAGCGTTGTCCACTGCGCGCTGTAACTCGCAACCTAACTTTTGGAGGATAGCCAGGTATGATTCTGAGAACACACCTCTGCGACGACAACCACATTTCATTTGAGCAACAACTGAAGCACATGCAGCAACTGCGACAGGCACTACCATGACGGGTATGTGGAGGTCGCTGTGTTACTCCCGTTGCCTCACCGACATGCTCGACAACAGTTCGGAACCGTAGCACCAAACAGTCCGCGTTTCGTCGTACGAGTTCGCCGTTCTGTGGATATTCAGCTGACATGACAAACGGCTGGCGTCAATCCGAATTGTGGTTCAACCTAT